AGGTCTGAGAACCTTCGAGTGTTCCCGTTTCAATGAGCCAGTCTAGTCGACTAGCGAAGCGACCTGCTCACGCAGTTGAGCGATGTCCTGACGAGCTGCGGTCAGCTCGTCACGAAGAGAACGAATCGAATGTTCGTTCACAAGTTGTGCGAACGCAAACGCGGCACGATCGTCCAAACGATCGAGCGCTATGGAATTGTTATTAATCTTTACAATGTCATGATGCTCATAACGCTGAGTCCGTTAATGAGCCAGGTCATCGTGTAACTGTTACATTACACGATTCAGCTCTTGAAAATCAAGCTGATCCTACCCTCGAGCCAGATCAGGTGTTCCTGACCCTACTTCATCCTTTGGTGGATTTTGGCGGTAGTCAATGCTTTCTGATGGAGCGTATTTTGAACCACCGCGACGTGAATGGCGTCCAGACGAGTTACCTCGTACTTTGGCGTGGCTATCCATCGGCCTGGAACAGCTGGCAGCCTCGTGCCCATCTATTTGTCGATGTTCGTGCCCATCTGATTGTCAATGTTCCGGGTCCCGTCGAGTAATGTGACGAGACTCACCCGCTGCGCAAGCAGAAGAACCGTCGGAAAACGACCTCCCCGAACGCGAGTACTGGGATTGCAAAGTTTCAATCCCTTTGGCCATCTCAGAAGATATGCGCGCCCTCCAGTATGGAACACTAGGGAGGTAGGCCTGCACAAATCTCATTTTCCATGCAATCTGGACTTGGATCTCCCCACGAGAGACAGGGTAGCCCTACCTCTATTGACATTCGGTACAACTTGGATTGTACACCGACTGGGTTACTCTTTTCAAACCTGATGCAATCTGCATCAAGTTTTCCAAGCCAAGCCTCACGGTCAATACACTCGATGTTATGGATATAGGCATTCCATTTTTGCACCAAGTCCTTGCCGTCCCGGTCTCGGTTGTCACTGTACCACCGATTTTTGTATAATACATCGGTGAAGAACTCCTCCTCAACAGGGATAGTTTACGTGCTGGAATTAGGAGGACAGAGTATCCTGCAGTTACAAAGGGATTTGATCCCGTTCGGTGGTCATAACGGCCCATCAATCTAACTTCTTGGATGATGGCATATAAGAAGACTCTACTTGAGGAGCGGGGCGCAGGACATTGCGGTCCCTAGCCTCTTGAGTGGTGTCAGCATGAGCATTGACACCAGTGGCAGCTCGATCTCTCGAGTTTCTTCTCTTGTGGTAATGCACACGTGCATCATCATCATCCCCACGCGTCCTATCGTCGAAATGAGTTGCGTGATACGTGGATTTGTCAGAAGAATCGCTCGGTCCGAAGATCTCGCACATGAGGCCGCCACGTTTCTCAAAGCCAGTCGACCTGGATCTTGCAGTGTCCGCCCCAGATCATCCGGAGACGGAGGTGTCGCCTTCGAATCGGATGGATCATCCGACTCGCCAGAATAGATAAGCTCTATTTAAGGCTCATCCACATTGCGTTTCTAGCACCCGCTGCAGACGCAGCAGCTGTATCTGTCGCACGTGGTGACTCACCACATGGAATAGTCGCAACAGGCAGTGCCTGCAAGTTGCTCACTTGCAACATTAGGCGTAGGATCACCTGCAGTTGAAGCAGGAGAAGAACTGTTTTCGGCTGCACGTATGCGGGCAACCGCCTTTTTGGCTGCTTCGGCGGCACATCGCATGGACTTTGACACCATGCGAAGAATTTGTATTTGAGATGGAATTTGACCAACAAGTGCTACCCTTCCCAGAGTGATCCAACGGTGTTCACTCTTTACCAATATATTCTATTCAATCAACGAGTATTTGATGGTGAAGGGGGGGGGTGATGTAACGTGAAAGCCCGTTACATGATATTGACACCAAACGGTGTCAATAGGGATATTGTTTAGCGTGACTGTTCCCTACCATTGTTATCCGAGATGGATAATATTGGAGGAACATTAACCCCTTGTAGGATAATATTCATGCGCTGCTCAAAGATTGGTTGATATAAGACATATCAACCATAGATTATCACCAATCGCTGCTAGACGCGTGTAATGAGTGGTGAGCAGGTTGTCGTCATGCGACGACGTAGTTTAACATAGTTAGATAAAGATTAAAGTTGTATTGATAGCTTGACTATATTAAATACAGTTCTCTTTTTACCTTTACTCAGCTTAGTCGTTGAGAAGATAAGCTTCCTTTGCACGTACTAGTATACGTAAAGTTTCGTGGCACCCCAAACAAAGGGCCCCCCGTAACAAAAGAGGCTTCGGTCGTACGTTTGTTCCGCGGCGGGCGTTGTCCAAGTTGACCACATCGACGTACTTGAACATAATGAGTGCAGAAATGAAGTTGCAGCTGCTTTGTGCATCCAAAATGTGATCTCCCAAAATCTTTTTTTTATTTTTTGTGCATACTGACTCTGGGTGGTGTGGAGGGGTACCAAAAGAACATTACTGGAGATCGAGGAAATCATCCATGGCGGTTGTGGTTATGGAATCAATCTATCGATATGGTACAGAAGCTTAGAGCTGTGAGAGAAATGCATATGGTATGTACTATAAACTACAGTCATCTCTCAAAAACTTGTATCCTCATAATTCATGTAACTCATACAGGTTGAGTTCCACTATGCTCATTTTATGGTCGCTAACTCATAACTCGTAACTATAAGAATTATGAGTATTTCGAGGCACAAAAATTTACGAGAATACTTTCGTGTAATGAAAACCACATTTCTGCATAAAAATGCACAATTAAACGGGGACAAAGTGCATTAGTGCACTAAATTTGGATGTACAAGAATCTAGGTTTCTCCGTGTGTTAACTGCTACACGATGGATATATGAAGTACCATCCGAATCGGCAGTGAAGGCAATAGAGATCCGGACCAAAAAGAAAAAAAGGGAAAGAAACTTTTCTTGAACAGTAAGATTCTGAACTTCCACATTTTTTGAAAAATTAAATCAAATCTATCCATCTGTAATTTGAGACCCTCATTATTTCGATGGAACTGTCTTGGTTGAACCTTTTGCAAGTAGGCCTAAATCATTTTCAGTAAGTTCAACAACAGCCTAATTTAAGTTTCTTAAATCCCACGCATTTGTTTGGTTCATGTTGAAAACATCGAAGCGAGTAATTGCCGTCCGAAGTCCAGACAATGCCGCATCCATGGCTCTTTTATTTGCTGAACTCCTCACGTCGTTTATGCTGATGCTGAACAGCTTCTTTCCCTCCTAAAATATTTGCGACTATCCACTTAAGAACTTGACACTGCTGCCAAGTAGGCTAAGGCATTCATAAAACACAGAGGCCTTGATCTCGATGATTTCTACAACAAGGAAAACCTGCCTCGTTTGGCATTGAAGCACCGAAGTCGACATGTCTCCTTTAGCTTTATATTCTGAGCACCTCTCGTGATTTTAATGAAAGTTGTTACATGTTATAGATTATGGATCAGCGCACTTTACTATACTGAGAGAGATGGCGTTCTGGGTGATCTAAGATGCAAACTTGCTGCAAGCTTAATTAGCCCGGACACTTTGGCTCTTTTTTACGTTTTTGGCCTTTGCTAGCAAATCTCGACCCTTCGTACATTGGTGACAATGCTTGAGACATGATTAAGGGAGATTTAGAAGGAGAAACCGCTATTTTTTCCTTTTCACAAATGACACTCGGGAATTTGCGTAACTGGTTGGTTACTCGTTATTCAAAATCTGACTCCACCAAGCCTATGAGTTATGCGAGGAATGACTGTAATCGACTTCATGGCGATGAACTCGATAAGGGCGTTGTTTTACCTGCTCATGATTACATCTAGAAAAGTACACGAACAGGCAATCGTACACTCCTGAATAATTTTGTTTATGGTATGATGGCTTTAATTGCCATAAACATCTCGCATGGCCCAGAAATTCAAGAGGTACTCAAAATCAAAGAAGTGTGTAAAATGAAGGTACGAAAAAGAATATCGAAACTCTGCTGACTGTTTTATTAGAGAAACAGAATGATGAAGAGAAGTGTATCATCTGATGGTTGGCAAAAGGGTGCGAATATCAGGCTTGACAAAGGACGTGTATTCAGGGAAACTGGGTGTAATTGTATCGATTCCCTTTTTTTAGGTACAGTGGATGCATTTAAGCAAATCTAACGACCGTCGTCTACTCTCTTCGGCGAAGCCTGCACATCCCCTACTGGATGGCCACTGTTCGTGCTAGGCAGTCCGGGGCCACCGTGAAAAATCCTGTTGTTGTCACAACGGAACAAACATAGGTAAGCAAACAACAAACACGGTCTTCCAAGATCAAAAGAGCAAGTTGTATTTATTTTGTCTGTAACCAAACTAAATACGAAACGCTACGATCTACTCAACAAATGCTATGTAGACCACGCATTTCTGTATACAAACACAGTCCTCCCCCCATAAGTTATCTCCCCCTATGGTAAAACGTCTGCTAAGTTATACGATTTCGGGTCCACCAACGCCGTTCTATGGCGACTATGGAATACGGAACATGGAATACCCGCTCAGGCCCAATTTTACGTATCAGGGGGAGAAATTTTCATGTCAAGAGCAGATGAATATTGTTTGGAGCATCCTGGAGCCTACTTAAGCCATGAATCCAGTGTGGTTTGGATTGTATTAGCACTACAAAGTTGGGCTTGAATGCGACGAAGAGCGCGGTGGGCGGCGCGGTCTCGATCCTGGGAGAGATCAAGGAGGGAAATGGACAAAGCAAGAGCAGCGAGCTTCTCAGCTATGGAATGCGTCACCACCTTCTCCTCAGCTTCTCCTTCGTCCTCCTCTTCATCATCCTGGACGAGCTTGATGATCTCGGCGTCGCTTAACTCCGCATGCACCGTCGGCTCCTCATCAACTGGATTGAGCAGTGACGCAATAGACATCGGATTGCGCAAAGGCAAGTGTTGCAGAGCTGACTCCAGATCCTTCTCCACTTCCTGCTTCTCCTGGTCAACCAGATCTGCATCCTGTTGCACAGTCTGCTAAATGTCCCCTGCTGAAGCGCCTCCTTCAACTGCTGGAGAAGTCGGCCCATTAATGATTCCAGTGTGCTTAAAGCAATTCGCAATGGTGGTGCTCGAAATCTCGCTCCACGCCATAAGTGACCAACGCATGACTGTGACTTGATCAACTTTGAAGAGATCGGCCGCTCTCGCATCATCGCGATCCAAAGCGTTCTGTTGGTGCAGACGCCGGTAGTGGCGCTTGAATGAAGCGATGATACTGGCGTCCATTGGCTGCACCTTGGATGTGGCATTGGGCGGCAGAGCCTGAACGGTGACGTTGGTGAGCACAAGATCCAAAGTTACGTGCGAAGGTGCATTGTCCATAAGCAGGAGGATTTTATCCTGGCGCTAGAATCTGGGTAAGTGCTTTGTTTTGCAGCTGATATCTCAGAATGGGCAAATGTTCAATTACCTTTGTGTCTCTGTCCAGGTTTCCAAGCCATTCCTGGAAAAAGACCCCAGTCATCCAGGATTTCTTGTTGTGGCGATAAAGAAACCTGAGCTCTTCTCCTGACTTCCGTTGGAAGCAACGAGGCTTGTTTGCACGGCCAATGAAGAATGGAGGGAGCTTATCAGATCCATCAGCATTTGCCGTCAGAGACAATGTGATGCGAGTCTGAAAAAAGTGTCAATTATTCCGTTGGTTCCACGAATCTCAACAAGCCGAATGCATTTCACCTTGTCTTTTTTTAAGCCTTCAACTTCCTTCTGAACAACAGTTTTATCCGGTGTCATGCTGTAAAATCATCCTGGAAATCATCTTGGCATTTATGACAAAGAGCATTAAAGACTTCAGGAGAATTTACCAGTTTCGTCCATGTTGCACGCATCACGTGGAGCAAACTTGGTGACAGCTGCTTGCAACTCTGGTAGAGCTGCTTCAAGTCCAGCCACAACGGCTGAACCGCTCTCGCCATGGTTACGGATGGCCCTTATCTTTTGGCGCTGCTGGAATTTGTAGAGCCACCCATAGGAAAACTTGATTGACCCATCCGGAATATCCATGGACGTTGCAAATCTTGCAGCTTTGGCACGGATCAAGTCTCCGGTGCGGGCAACTCCACGATGCTGGCACTGCAAAATCCAGAGGCCACTGCTTCTTCCAAGACATGATGTTGAACTGAGCGGGGACGCTTAGTAGAGAGCTCTGATGGACTCATTGCTTTAAGCTCCTTCCTCTTGCTGATGATCTTGCTAATCGAGGCCTGCGTCATAGGTTTGAGGAGGCCGAATGCCTCCTTCGTCCAGTTTCCAAGCTCTGTCTGGGTGAGGCTTGGATGATAATTCTTACGTTTGATGATCCTCAGCTTCTGGTCGTTGGTGAGACTTAGTTGAGACATCTCTGATGTGTGGGTGGGTAAGTGGGTGGGAGGGTGGGTAGGTTTGAGATTCTGGGTTTTAGAGGGAAGTTGTTGGTTTGGGAGAGAAATGACAGTGGACAGGAATCGAGAGAGGGAAAGCGAGAGGGAAGGTGAGGTGTGGATGTAGGAATGTAGGGATGTTTGTCTGGTCGGGGGAGAAAAACGGTGCCTATTATACCCCGACCCCCGGTGGCTAGCCCGCCAGGCGAGTTGCAAAAGGTTGCGCAATCGCGCACGAAATGTAAACAAGATACAGTACTTTAACTGTGTACGAAGGTACTTTAACTGTGTTTGGTTCAATGACTCAGTTGAGTGTGATACAATCAATCAACTGTGTTCAATAAAATGTGCTCAAGTTGGATTCGATGCACTCACAAAGACAATGCATTGTACGCACAAGGACTCCCTAATTTCCATAGGCGGTGCCCAGACGCGTCCCCCACCAATAGGGTAAAGAAGATGTTCTGTGGTCCGCTATTTTGATCGATCAACGACAATCGTGATACTAATACTAATAGTTATGCATGTATTGTACTGATAAGTAATAAAATAATAAATGGTCAGCTTTTTTGATCGTTAAATAATTGATTATTCTCAAATAGAATAACCCTTGCTAAGTTATAGGATCTGGCCTCCACCAAGGCTATAACTTATGGGGGGGAGTACCGCACTGCACTCGCCAAGTGTAGCCATTTCGCCCATGCAGCAACTCGGTCGTTGCATCTTCAACACTTTCAGCTTTTAACACCCCAACTTTTCTATGTCAAGGATTTATGCTTCTACGAGAGACCGAGTTCAGTGGCACCGGGGTTCTCGGGCGGCACCGGGGTTCTCGGGCGGCACCATTGAGATTTATGTGTCCCACATTTTTAGCGACCTTAGTTTGGTCGTACTGGGGATTGCAAACACTTGATTGAAACGGTCGTACTTGCCCAAGGCACCAGGGGGGAACCCCATGAACGAAACTAATAGCAGGAAGAACAGGATATCCTTAAAGGTCGTCCAGCGCAACTGTTCAGGGTCCAGCGCAACTGTTTAAGGTATGTCGGTGCTTTTGAACACGGTCGGCCATACCTCGATGGAAAAGTATGCAGAAGCTGCGCTCGGTTCAAGCAGCACAGCATCAGTACGAACGTCAGGTAGGTGTTTCTGTGTGGATACCTGTTATGTGCGGTGCAGTGGTTGGACGCACTTCTACGATGCATGTTCGTAAGCTAGATACCCCCGCGGGCGAGTTGCCTTCCCGAAATTGAACTATCGGCAGTGCAATCGACAAAGGAAACCAGGTAAAGTAGTAGCCGCGTCTTCCTATTAAAGGAATCGATATCGGTGTCGTTCTCGATACATCTTGGTCTGCCTTCAGGTCGATATGCTGCGAGACGTCGCATCTTGCACCGAAGTCTCAGGCTCGCAACTATCGCATTCGCCTGTCCCGGTCGTTTCGTACACTGTGTCTGTTTGGCGTCAACAGGCATGCGTATCTTCCCCTAGGATGCCTTGTGCGGCAGGTGTTCACCGCTCATACAAATGATGAAACCGCCTATGATTCCATCCACTTGACTCGACGCTCGGTCAGGATTGCACGTCTGCTTGCTTCATCATTCTGCAATTTGCCAAGACCATCCCAGCATCCTCACCACCTTCACACTAGCCATCCCTACGATGAAACTCCTCGTTTGCCTCGTCCTTGCTGCTGTTATGACTGCGACGACCGTTGGACATCATCATGTGCACCATGACGGAGGTGGCATCGGCCTCCGTGGTGGAGTCGCTGATATCGCAAGCGATGATTCACATCATATCGTCAATAGTGTTTTGGGTGGTTTTGGTGGAGGTGGTGCACTTGTTGGACGCCCCGAAAGCATGGAAGCCAGGAATCGAAACAACCGCATGAGGGACCATTAGGCTCTCGCCCAAGATCCGGCTGCAAGATTCATCCGCCGAGATCTCTGTGCTCGAGATCACTTTGGGCGGAGTCGATGTCGGAAGGCAAGCTGATCCCCATCCTGTTCCATGAAGCAACTTTATCCACTGCACCGAAATCAAGCTAGAGGCGTGCCGATGTAGGATAGCGAAGGGGTAACGCGACGTCAATGCAGCTCGCTCCAACAAATCGATTCTGGCTTCTGTACCCCCATGATTATGTCCCTCTGATTTCTGTACTTCCATGACTTTGTACACTCTTGACTCATGAACCCCCAGGCTTCTACTGGATGTAACAACATGAGCATGCCCATGCGCCAGACTTAACACACGATGCTCGCTCGGATACGATGGATGCTTGGATGTCTATATCTGAGTACCTTTCCGACTTCGGACAAGGTTGGGGGAGTTTTGACCAAGAAGTCGGAGAGTGCGCCGGCGGAAATGTGAGTCCTGTGCCTTACGTACGTCAGGCATTACGGAGTAGTATGCACATGTCGGCTTTAACACCAACTGAGCAGTATGCGTTACAAAGACCACTGCTTTCATCCGGTAAGTGTCATGGATATGAACGTGGATTCCGTCTACTGCAGTTCTTTGTAGAACGATAATCTAACGAGCATTCGAGTCATGGTTCTTATTCGTCGCCCGCCGGGTACGGCGTATGCAGCGTCTTTCTCTCCAGTCTTTCGTCTTACAAGGTACAGATGCCAGCTCGTAGCTTGCGTTTCTGAAGTAGACGCTGCATCCCGTCTCTTAACTTGGACGCAAATGGATCGCGTTGGCCCCGCGAGGTTGGTCCACGCACGACTTGATGTGTTGGTGTGTCCTTTACTGGTCTACGTCCTTGTGTTTTCTTTTATCGATGCTAACAATGAGGTCTCCGCGTCTGTTTGTTGACAAAATCACCGACAGAGCGTCATCGAGAGTTCCTTTGTAACCTGCTCGCTGCACTGTTTGCCACATGTCATTCCCGAAAGGATGTACTGTATGGCGTCAAGACAACACAACGGCGTCGTCGTCGTCAATCATGGACATGTGTAAAACACGTGTATTCAATGATCGCGAAAAAACGATGTCGTTTGCAGTCGCCTGATTTGTTGTTACGAAGAAGCACGAGTGTGTTCTACGCTATGTCGCGATACTCTTCCAGACCGCGAGTATTTCAATCCTACAGTCGACGAAATGCCAGACCTGCACCATTGTGAAAAATGACGGACGGCGGTGACGTGATTCCACACGTGATGCAAACGTGTAGCGGTCCGTGGAGCGATGTGCAAGTGCATTGTCGTCGTCATCGCGCGATCCGTAGCATTGTGATCGACGACGTGGACACAGAAAGATAAGGTCATAACAGCGCTAACTGTTTGCAGCCTCACCTGAAACACTCCGTACGCTCGAGATACATATCGATGTGGTCATTACAACGTAAAGCACCAACCGTCCGTACGCAATCGTGTGAACGAAGACTGCAACTGATGCATTACTTCAAACGATCAGTTCAGTCGTTGCATTACGTGCTGAAAAGGCATTACGAAGATTAGGAGAGACTGAGTCGTGGGCATGGTTGTGGTATCTGCGGGTGATGGTAAGACAACTTCAGAAAATGAGATTGCTGGTGCTAAGATTGGTGGTAAGGTTTCTGACTAAGCACCTACGAGACCAACAAGCCTTGCACTGAGCTCCAGTTGCGGGTATTGTGACCAGAAGACTATGGATCAATCTGCAGGTGCACGATTCAATAAGCACTCCTTTGCTTTCGTGCATTCTTTTTGCAGTTATTCGCATGTTCATGCTTGCGCGAAGACTATGCTGTTTCAAGCAAGTCGTGGCGGGACACGCACGACAGACAGCAGCTCCCGAGCGCATTTGTGACGCAACGGGCGACCGGGTGGAGCTGCTGGCTCGGCTGGGCATCTTGTCCACCAGTCAGCAACAGCTGAATACAGCTTTATCTGCACTTTATGATGGGGCCTGTCCGCAACGTGGCTGACACCGCGGACGTACTAATGATGGCACACCTGTCGCTGTCTGATTACTGTTACTCATTCATTCTCCTATCGTTTTCTGCTACAGAAGCGTGGTACGGCATCGACGTTTGGTGGTAAATGCAGATAGGCCTGCCCGAGCCGCGACACTTTCCTGGCATCAACCCAAGTTCCCGGACTGGCAAAACGCTATGGCATGGGTGTTCAAGGTATGGTTGGCGGGGAATAGTCACGACTCCGAGGATCTTCAAGGAACAATCAAGTGGCGCAATGCATGTTCGACGGGGTAGCGAGGGAGCGGGGTAAATCAACACGGGAGTCCACAGCTACATGGGTACATCGTGAAAAAGGTAGGCCCGTAAGCATCATACTGAGCTGCTGGATTGTCGGTGCTATGGACACACAATGCAGTGCTGGTCTTTGACGCAGATCTCGCACCCGATTTACCAGAGATTGAGATCCATTGGCGTATGCTGGCTTAGCGATAACGTGTGAAGTACGTCAAGAGAGGAATGGAGATCTGTAACAGGGTGAATCGTTTCATAACAATTTATAAGAAATTGTTAATAGAACATAACTATAAGAGTTATATTCACAGGATATCGTCATAAGGACAAATATTCTGCAGCACTTACGAGTAGTTCCTAATTGGTTGATATGGGCCATTATATCAACCAACGAAGACGCGCCACGACAGACGCACGCAATGAGTGGTGAGCAGATAGTTGATATGCACATTTGTATTTAGACATAGTTAGATGAGGATAAATAGTGGTTTATTAACAGACTTTAACTATACTAAATACAGTTCTACTTTTTACTTTAACCAAGTACTCGCTTCTTCTTACCGTCTTCCTCTGCACGTACCAGTGTACGTGAAGTTCCGAGGTACCGCCTTATTCTGTCGTCAAAAAAAGTAGCTTGTACTGTCATCAGTACAAGCTTTAGGGTGCCCCGTTACATCTGGTAGCACTTCGTAGTCCGTCCAAGGACCACGTTCACATCTAACATGAATATGTTGGATGATGAAGATGACCAAAGCTTTCACGCTACGCGTGACGGCTACTCCCACTTGAGCGATGTAGAATGGGATGCGGTTGAACGGATGGGTTCAGCCATGGGCATCCATGCTGTTAGCGTCATTCTAGAGGCTCTCAATAGAGATGCCCAACATGCTACTATCGCCAAGTTCATTCAAAATGAACTTGACGCTGAACGCGAGAAAGTAGCCTTGCTTCACCAACAAGGTTCTCAACAAGCAGAGTTGTTGAGAGAACAGGGTGTTCAACAGTTTGAACTGTTGAGACAGCAGCAGGCTGATGCTAGTGGGTCGATGCACTGGCGTCGATCCGAGACCTTGAAGATTGACATCTCCAAGTATAGGGGAGTCGAAGAGGAATCCCTCTTGAGATGGTTCGTCGAATTGGATGACGCCATAAGGGCGCGTCGAATCGACGACGGGGATATGCAAGCTGCATTTGCCCAGTCAAATCTGGCAGGACGTGCCAAGACTTGGGCTTTGGGGCTCAAGTTGCACGACCCATATGCGTTTGGGTCGTTGGAAGTCTTCAAGTCGCGGCTCAGACAAACGTTTTTGAACCGCCTAGAGCTGAGTTCAGAGCTCGAACTGAACTCTTGAAGCTCAAACAAGGTAAGCGTGATGTGCACGCTTACGCGCAACATATACGACATCTCACGAGTTATAAGTTCGAATCCGGTTGACGAACACACGTTGGTTTCGGTGTTCATGCAGGGTCTTGCGGATGGTCCCGTCAAGACTCACCTGTTCCGGCTTGAACTAGATTCACTAGAACAAGCCATTTCCATTGCGGAGCAGGAAGACTTCAGTCTGAGACAGGCTCGCGCCAGCTCGACATCATATCGTCAACCGAGACGATATGACAACGGAGGTCCAGAGCCGATGGAGCTCTGTTATGTAGAGAGCGAGAAGGCTCGCTCTACAGGCTACAAGAAGTTGCAGAGATGCAACAGATGTCAAAAGACAGGACACTACGCTTACGAGTGTAGTGCCCCTCGTCCAGTGTCTCGCGACACTGGGCGTAGTGACCGTCCACCCATGAGAAAGGGGCAGGGACGAGGGTCCGCAGTTGGTGCAAAGACGCAACAACGGGATGGACCGTCAAAAAACGGAAAGGATCAGTAGGTGCGGAGCACCCTACTGATCCAGCAACGTCAAGAGAATTTGTAGGCCTCTTGATGAAGGTTGCTCCCAACACACAAACATTGTGCGTTGCTGCTCTAGGTAATGAGATCTCACTCATCACCTTGAAACTCGAAGTGACGAATAAGTTGTCCCTTCGAGCTCTAGTCGATTGTGGGGCGTCCAACAATTTTGTGCAACGCCAATAGCTAGAAGATGGTCACTTTAAGTCTGGTGAATGTGACACACCTCCTACGAGGATGACGGTACGCCTTGCGACAGGCGCATCCGTAACCGTCATGAAGCGTATGGTGAAGATCCACTATACGCTAGAAGATACCCAATATGACGATGACTTTATCGTAATAGATTTGGATGACAAATTTGATGTCATCCTTGGAATACCGTGGCTCAGAAGGTACGAACCACGAGTAAACTGGCAACATCGAACAGTAACGATGCCTGCCGCTTGTTCATCAGATGGCCATCTGATGAACGTTTTGGAGCGTCCACAAGCGTGTGCATGTACTACGAGTGGGTGCGATGGCCTCACTTGTGGAACGGTCGTTAGTACGACTGCACAAAACCTTAGTGTAACAAACGGTTACACTTCGGAGCAAAGTTCCGGCGGCTGTGAGGAAACACAGGCTGCGCCGAAGGTCCACCACTCGAATCAGTCGAGTGGACCGGGACAAAGATGTATCCCTAGCGGGGAACATCTAGAAGCGAAACAATCGATCGCTCAGGTTGAGCGAAACGATAATCCTAGATCGACTGGAGAGTCTTTTGTAGAGGATCTCGCTGTGGTTGCGCAGCCACAGCTAGAGAAAGTAAAGGGAATAAGTCCCAAGATTACAGATACGGCGGAAATAAGTTTCCAGAAACCCGCGGGAATAAGTCCCCGGGAAGCCGAAGGAATAAGTCCCCAAGAAATGACAGAGACACTGAATGTCATAGTCAATGACGGATCAAGTGTAGGCGCTTATACACTTGATCTGATTGCGCCTCCGAAGTTGACTTCGGAGATCACTCAGTTGCCAACGCTCGAACATAAAAGGTTCTTGCGTCATCTGCGTAGTGGCAAAGTCAAGCAGATCTGCGTACTCGTCGCTGACGACGAGTGTGTAGCCGACATAAGGTCAGCAACAGTGTTTACTGAGAACGAGAGAGTTCTCAGTAGTTCATCGATGGACGAGAGTGTCCTCGATGAAAAGACACGAGTTGAGCGATACGACTCTCAATCATGGGAATCGCTCAAGACAAATCCTCTCTATGAAGATTTGGTTGAATTCAAGGATGTATTCCCTGAAACTGTTCCGTGCGAATTACCGAAGGATAAAGGTATTCGACACGAGGTCGAGCTTAAACCAGGCTCGAAGTACTGTATCATGAAGCAGTGGCCACTGCCTCGTGAACAAGTATTTGCGATCGACAAGTTCTATGCCGATCGTTTAGCTGCGGACCATGTGAGGGAATCAACTCCCCCATATAGCTCTCCGACCTTTTGTGTGCGAAAAGCAACAGGAGGGTGGCGGATAGTGCATGCACTAACAAGTTGAATGCTGCAACGGTACCGGCTCAGACGCCGGTACCAAGGAAGGACGTAATCATTGATGGTATGTCAAAGAGTACCATCTTTTCGTCCATGGATTTGATGGATGGCTTCTATCAAATCCTTATGCGAGAACGGTATATACCCTATACCGCAATGACCACACCTAGCGGCATGCTCTGGGAATGGCTAGTAATGCCACAAGGGTTTAGTAATGCCCCTGCCACGTTCAACAGATGTGTATCACATCTGTTGAGGCCAGTACGAGAATTCACACCGAGTTATTTCGATGACGTATTCATCCATAGTAGGGCTATGGATGGAAAGTAGGACGTTGAGGTTCACAGATACCATGTCCGACAGGTTCTTACAATCATGCGAAAGCACCAATTGTATGCAAACCTCAAGAAGTGTATATTCGCAGCAAGCGAAATACCACTTCTTGGGTGCATCGTTGGTAAGAACGGTGTACGTCCTGATCCCGAAAAGAGCAAGGCGATCACCGACTGGCCTGTGCCGGTTGATGTCAAAGGTCTTCGAAAATTCCTTGGGCTATTGGCGTATTTGCATAAGTATTCACGCAATTACGCCAAGATGGCTGTACACCTCTCTCGTTTGTTGAAAAAGAACGAGAGGTGGTTATGGAACGATGAATGTCAGCGCTCCTTTGATGGTATCAAGCAGAGCTTGAAACAATCCCCAGTCCTAGCAATAGCCGATCAGGACAGGCAATTTCATGTGGTCTGTGATGCCAGCGATTTCGCAATCGGCTGTGCATTAATACAGTACGATCTTGAAGGCGTTGAACGCGTCGTCTGCTATCAGTCGCGTCAGCTGCAACCTGCTGAGCGGAGCTATCCAGTGCATGACAAGGAACTCCTTGCCATGAAGTATGCACTCGCGAAGTTCAGAGTCTATCTATTAGGAGATAGACCCTTCACTGTTTACACTGACCATGCGTCGTTACGCACGGCAGTGAACAGCCCGCACCTTTCACAACGAATGGCGCGGTGGTTGTCATTCTTTGCAGAATACAACTTTAAGGTCGTATACAAACCAGGACGACTTAATGGCGTCGCTGATGCACTCTCACGTCGTCCCGACTTTGAACCAGTCGTGAAACCAACAGTGAGACAGCCACTGTTGCGGTTATGACGTCCTCAGTATTATCTTCAACGTTACATGATGATGTGAGGCGGGCGTATGCCCAAGATGGTGAGATTGTGAAGTTGTTGACACATCTCTCACAGCCATCTCGAGAATCGTTGAAACGATTATCGTCTGCGTATCGATCTGCATCAGATCGATACACTACTCGCAACGGTTTACTGTATTATACAGCTTACTGGTGACACACCACGTGTTGGCATTCCAGATGATACTGATCTGCGTTTGCGGATCATGTTCGAGTATCACGATGCTCCTAAAGGAGGACACCGTGGCCGGGAGAAGACATATCTCACGGTGAGTCGAGACTTTTACTGGCCCCGCCAGTATCAGTTTGTGCGAAAGTATGTTCGCGCATGCGAAGTCTGTCAACGAGTGAAGTCAAGTCCTTCACTGCGTGCACCTTTACAGCCTCTACCGGTTCCGGCAGAGTGCTGGGAATCCATCTCAATGGATTCGTCTTCGGGTTACCCAAAGACGCACGCGGGAATACGGGTATTCTCGTATTTGTTGACAGATTCAGCAAAATGGTACACCTTGTGGCTGTACCCGAGTCAATCACAGCAAGTGGCTGTGCTTGTGTCTTTATCGACACCATCTTCCGACTTCATGGGCTGCCCCGTGAACTCGTATCAGACAGAGATCCACGCTTTCCCTGCTGATTTCTGGCGTTCCGTGTTCAAATCACTCGGAACGCGCTTGAAGATGTCTACATCTGATCATCCAGAGTCAGATGGTCAGACGGAACGTGCCAATCGTGTCCTCGAAGAGATACTTCGAGGATACGTACACTCCTTTAAGAGTTGGAGTGAGTTCTTGTCAATGGTAGAGTTTGCCATTAACAACTCGGTGCATGCGTCCACGACACATACACCGTTTTACGTGAATGGCTTGCGCCATCCGCGTGTACCCACCTTACTCGAGTGTAACTCTGGTTTAAGGGGGAGAGAGACTCGTGCGAGCAAAAACCGATTTGGTTCACGCTCATCACGCTCTGACGAAGAGGTCATTGCATTTGATGCTGATATCGATAACATCGATATCGAAGAAGATGATGCCAGTGAGAGTGCGGAAGCCCTCACTGAAGAAAAGATTGATGTTGCTGCAGTGCACTCACAGCGCACTGACGAGTCATCAGATGAATTCATACTGGCTCGTGAAACGGTAGTCCGTTTTGTGCAAGACTCCATCGCCGAAGCGGTGGATAAGCAAAAGCAAAACGCAGACAAGAATGGAAGGGCAAACACTCTTTTATTTAATCAAGGTGACTTAGTCCTAATGTCTACGGTTAATCTACCAAAGCATGTAGTGACTAACTTGGGTAGCAGTAAACTTCTACCCAAGTACATCGGACCATTTCGTGTATTGCACCGCCTAGGCAATGCATACACGATCGAGTTGCCACGCAAGATGCGAACGCATCCCACGTTTTACGTTGGTCGGCTTAAGCCGTACCATCAGTACGCTGCTTCTTCCGATGAAGTACGCCCTTGCGCTCAAGCATCTCGCAGAGAGCCTTGTGCTCCCGATGGTGGCCATCGACAAGGGTCTAAAGAGCAGTTAATTCAGCCCGAGACCGCTCAACATCCCCACGAGCTACCCTTAGCTCGTCACGCAGAGACGTCAGAGCTCTCTTGTTCTCAAGCTGAGCAAAGGCAAACTCAGCTCGATGCTTCAAGACAGTGTCCGCCAGTTGGAGACGCCTGTCCCGCTCATGTTCGAGATCGCCGCGTAACCCTTGCGTTACGCGATCAAAGAGGTTCTCGGGGATACACGCTTCCCCACGATAGTTTGGAGAGCGTTTTCCCTCCTCCTCCACCTCCATTAGAGGACTCTTGCGGTGGCCAGCACTATCTGATTGAGCGGCTGTTGAACCACCGCGATGTGAACGGACGTCGGACGAGTTACCTCGCCTGGTGGCGCGGCTATCCCCCGTCCTAGGATTCTTGGGAGACCCGCTCCCAACTGATGATCGACGTACTGGGTCTGGTTGAGCAGTACGATGCGGCACATCCTGTGCCGCAGAAGGACCGCCGGAGAAAGTCTTCCCGGCACGGTCGTAAAGGGATTTCAGGTTGTCAATCCCTTCGTACATCTCACTAGAGATACGTACGCGCCACCACGGGCTGGTAAGGAGGTAAGCCTCCTTAGGTGCTCGTGCAGAGTTGTTCACACAACACGGGCACGATTCTCCCCAAGAGAGGCAAGTTAATCCTTTCTCCCTTGACAGACGATGCAGCTTGTAGCGTGCACCTGTCGGGGTTCGCTTTTCAAACTTATCACGAGCTTTGATAAGTTTGTCGTTCCAAACGTCACGACCTACATCCTCAAGGTTATGGATGTAGGCGTTCCACGCTTGAAGCAGTGAGGGACCATCACGCTTGTGATTCCCACTGTACTATCGATGTTTAAAGAAAGCATCGATGAAGAATTCATTCTCAGCGCGATAGTCTTTCGCACTGGGGTCAAGGTGATGGATCCTTGACGAATCGAACAATCGTGTTCGATAGCGATCACTTGTCGTCGCCGACAAGCGATCCATGACAGATTTAGGAGGCCGCCATGCTTTCTATTCAGGAGCGAGACGCAAGACACTGCGGTCCCGCTTTTCTTGCGACGTGCCGACAGAAGGACTGGCATCTCGTTGCGAAGTGGTGTCCATGGGAGAACCGATGCCACTGTGAGCGCCCGAGTCTTGCGACCTCGAGCGCCTTCGCTTTGGCGATGGTTCATCTGATTCGTCAGATGAACCAAAGATGCTACGACGCATAGCATCATCCATGCCACGATTGGCAGGCGGCTTGGATTCGATCGCCGTCGATACGGATCCGTCTTCCGTATCAGGAGAGTATGAGACTCCGAGCTCATACTCTGTGAAGACATGAGTGTCTTCATGACGAGCGCCTGCATCACCAGGTGTCACAGGCTGAGTCGCTTCAGCAACCGATGAGACATCAGTTGCTGCGGTTTCTGCTTCGGCGTCCGCACAGAGACGTGCGGACGCGCTCTCGGCGGCCTTGTTCGCGCACCGCATGGGCTTGTTTACCATGCGATGAACTGTTGGAAAGTGGACTCGAACCAACAAGTGCAAACCCTGTCCCAAATGATTTGGGACGAGTACACATTAAGTCAATCAGTCACTAAAGTGACTGATGGTTAAGGGGGGGGGTGATGTAACGGGGTGAATCGTTACATAACAATTTATACGTAATTGTTAATAGAACATAACTATAAGAGTTATATTCACAGGATATCGTCACAAGGACAAATATTCTGCAGCACTTACGAGTAGTTCCTAATTGGTTGATATAGGCCATTATATCAACCAACGAAGACGCGCCACGACAGACGCACGCAATGAGTGGTGAGCAGATAGCTGATATGCACATTTGTATTTAGACATAGTTAGATGAGGATAAATAGTGGTTTATTAACAGACTTTAACTATACTAAATACAGTTCTACTTTTTACTTTAACCAAGTACTCGCTTCTTCTTACCGTCTTCCTCTGCACGTACGAGTGTACGTGAAGTTCCGAGGCACCGCCTTATTCTGTCATCAGAATAAGTAGCTTGTACTGTCATCAGTACAAGCTTCAGGGTGCCCCGTTACACGTAAACTTGCACCCTTTCGCACATTGCGCTTGACAGTTCCGTAGACCTGTCGTGAGTTAGCGAGTCCTTAGACTCTGGTATTCCCCTTTGCACATTGTGCGTGTAGAACCTTATAACTATACTAGTCTGAGCTTGTAGCTCATCGAGTCCGCGCTAAGTTCCGTAGAAATAGCCAACTCTTTAACTGGGTCCATTAGTTCCTTAGATCTAATTGTGTAACGGGGCACCCTGAAGCTTGTACTGATGACAGTACAAGCTACTTATTCTGACGACAGAATAAGGCGGTACCTCGGAACTTCACGTACACTCGTACGTGCAGAGGAAGACGGTAAGAAGAAGCGAGTACTTGGTTAAAGTAAAAAGTAGAACTGTATTTAGTATAGTTAAAGTCTGTTAATAAACCACTATTTATCCTCATCTAACTATGTCTAAATACAAATGTGCATATCAGCTATCTGCTCACCACTCATTGCGTGCGTCTGTCGTGGCGCGTCTTCGTTGGTTGATATAATGGCCTATATCAACCAATTAGGAACTACTCGTAAGTGCTGCAGAATATTTGTCCTTGTGACGATATCCTGTGAATATAACTCTTATAGTTATGTTCTATTAACAATTTCTTATAAATTGTTATGTAACGATTCACCCCGTTACATCACCCCCCCCTTAACCATCAGTCACTTTAGTGACTGATTGACTTAATGGATACTCGTCCCAAATCATTTGGGACAGGGTTTGCACTTGTTGGTCCGAGTCCACTTTCCAACAGTTCATCGCATGGTAAACAAGCCCATGCGGTGCACGAACAAGGCCGCCGAGAGCGCGTCCGCACGTCTCTGTGCGGACGCCGAAGCAGAAACCGCAGCAACTGATGTCTCATCGGTTGCTGAAGCGACTCAGCCTGTGACACCTGGTGATGCAGGCGCTCGTCATGAAGACACTCATGTCTTCACAGAGTATGAGCTCGGAGTCTCATACTCTCCTGATACGGAAGACGGATCCGTATCGACGGCGATCGAATCCAAGCCGCCTGCCAATCGTGGCATGGATGATGCTATGCGTCGTAGCATCTTTGGTTCATCTGACGAATCAGATGAACCATCGCCAAAGCGAAGGCGCTCGAGGTCGCAAGACTCGGGCGCTCACAGTGGCATCGGTTCTCCCATGGACACCACTTCGCAACGAGGTGCCAGTCCTTCTGTCGGCACGTCGCAAGAAAAGCGGGACCGCAGTGTCTTGCGTCTCGCTTCTGAATAGAAAGCATGGCGGCCTCCTAAATCTGTCATGGATCGCTTGTCGGCGACGACAAGTGATCGCTATCGAACACGATTGTTCGATTCGTCAAGGATCCATCACCTTGACCCCAGTGCGAAAGACTATCGCGCTGAGAATGAATTCTTCATCGATGCTTTCTTTAAACATCGATAGTACAGTGGGAATCACAAGCGTGATGGTCCCTCACTGCTTCAAGCGTGGAACGCCTACATCCATAACCTTGAGGATGTAGGTCGTGACGTTTGGAACGACAAACTTATCAAAGCTCGTGATAAGTTTGAAAAGCGAACCCCGACAGGTGCACGCTACAAGCTGCATCGTCTGTCAAGGGAGAAAGGATTAACTTGCCTCTCTTGGGGAGAATCGTGCCCGTGTTGTGTGAACAACTCTGCACGAGCACCTAAGGAGGCTTACCTTCCTAATAGCGCGTGGTGGCGCGCACGTATCTCTACTGAGATGTACGAAGGGATTAACAACCTGAAATCCCTTTACGACCGTGCCGGGAAGACTTTCTCCGGCGGTCCTTCTGCGGCACAGGATGTGCCGCATCGTACTGCTCAACCAGACCCAGTACGTCGATCATCAGTTGGGAGCGGGTCTCCCAAGAATCCTAGGACGGGGGATAGCCGCGCCACCAGGCGAGGTAACTCGTCCGACGTCCGTTCACATCGCGGTGGTTCAACAGCTGCTCAATCAGATAGTGCTGGCCACCGCAAGAGTCCTCTAATGGAGGTGGAGGAGGAGGGAAAACGCTCTCCAAACTATCGTGGGGAAGCGTGTATCCCCGAGAACCTCTTTGATCGCGTAACGCAAGGGTTACGCGGCGATCTCGAACATGAGCGAGACAGGCGTCTCCAACTGGCGGACACTGTCTTGAAGCATCGAGCTGAGTTTGCCTTTGCTCAGCTTGAGAACAAGAGAGCTCTGACGTCTCTGCGTGACGAGCTAAGGGTAGCTCGTGGGGATGTTGAGCGGTCTCGGGCTGAATTAACTGCTCTTTAGACCCTTGTCGATGCCCACCATCGGGAGCACAAGGCTCTCTGCGAGATGCTTGAGCGCAAGGGCGTACTTCATCGGAAGAAGCAGCGTACTGATGGTGCGGCTTAAGCCGACCAACGTAAAACGTGGGATGCGTTCGCATCTTACGTGGCAACTCGATCGTGTATGCATTGCCTAGGCGGTGCAATACACGAAATGGTCCGATGTACTTGGGTAGAAGTTTACTGCTACCCAAGTTAGTCACTACATGCTTTGGTAGATTAACCGTAGACATTAGGACTAAGTCACCTTGATTAAATAAAAGAGTGTTTGCCCTTCCATTCTTGTCTGCGTTTTGCTTTTGCTTATCCACCGCTTCGGCGATGGAGTCTTGCACAAAACGGACTACCGTTTCACGAGCCAGTATGAATTCATCTGATGACTCGTCAGTGCGCTGTGAGTGCACTGCAGCAACATCAATCTTTTCTTCAGTGAGGGCTTCCGCACTCTCACTGGCATCATCTTCTTCGATATCGATGTTATCGATATCAGCATCAAATGCAATGACCTCTTCGTCAGAGCGTGATGAGCGTGAACCAAATCGGTTTTTGCTCGCACGAGTCTCTCTCCCCCTTAAACCAGAGTTACACTCGAGTAAGGTGGGTACACGCGGATGGCGCAAGCCATTCATGTAAAACGGTGTATGTGTCGTGGACGCATGCACCGAGTTGTTAATGGCAAACTCTACCATTGACAAGAACTCACTCCAACTCTTAAAGGAGTGTACGTATCCTCGAAGTATCTCTTCGAGGACACGATTGGCACGTTCCGTCTGACCATCTGACTCTGGATGATCAGATGTAGACATCTTCAAGCGCATTCCGAGTGATTTGAACACGGAACGCCAGAAATCAGCGGGGAAAGCGTGGATCGCTGTCTGATACGAGTTCACGGGGCAGCCCATGAAGTCGGAAGATGGTGTCGATAAAGACACAAGCACAGCCACTTGCTGTGATTGACTCGGGTACAGCCACAAGGTGTACCATTTTGCTGAATCTGTCAACAAATACGAGAATACCCGTATTCCCGCGTGCGTCTTTGGGTAACCCGAAGACGAATCCATTGAGATGGATTCCCAGCACTCTGCCGGAACCGGTAGAGGCTGTAAAGGTGCACGCAGTGAAGGACTTGACTTCACTCGTTGACAGACTTCGCATGCACGAACATA